CTGCAAATGCAGGCAGGACCTCTTTCCCCTTCAACTTGGGGCACCAATAGCAGTACCTATTTTGGGAAATGCCTACATTTGGTAATGTTCAATCTTCCTATTTCCTATTTGGGGAAAGAGCCCAGGGCCTGGGTAGGGGAGGCCGAGGTGTGGCTGCCGATAACTCCTGTCTATTTGCTAGTGATTTATTTGCCTGGGATTTGCACCAAGACAAAAAGAACTTTTGCATTATTAATGATCATTGATCACAGCCTTCCAAAATGAGTTGAAAGAGATGAAGGTTCCAGGCCAATCATCAAACAGTAAACCAGGAGGGGGAGGTGTGCAGAAAGGAGGGAAGGGGATTTTGTGGACACAGAAGGACACAGAAGGACACTTAAGACAAAGTCTGGGTGTGCTGCTGTTTCTGGTGTGCCAGATGTCAAACAGCTGCGTGGGCTATCAATAAGCAGCCGCAGTGGGCACCAGCTCTCCCTCCACCCAACTAAGATGTGTCTTGATGACAAGACACAGGGACACAAGGTCCCTTCATAACAACAGGGTCAATTCATCAAGGAGACAACAATCTTAATGTACCTAATAACAAGGCTTCAAAGCATCCAAGAGCAAGCAGACCGAAGCCTGTAAGGAAGGCCAGCCCCACTTGAAACTGGGCATCAGAGTGTCCAGCCTGTGCTGCCTCTGGGAGCGGGTCTTCATGACCCTGTTTGTTGTCAAGTCCTCTCTCAAGCTCAGTTCTCAGGAACCAGGCAGAGGCATGTCAGCACCCCCACACCTGCCAGAACCTGGGGTGGGTGTGCTCAGCATCTGTTGTTTGAATGAGGCAGGAGGCTGCCCTTTCCTGTCTCTCTGACCTCAACTCCTAGTCCTTAACCCCGGAGGACTGAGGTCACTGCCCACCTCAGGATCTCTGCCTCCTGTGCCAGGACTCAGAACACCCTCTCCCTACATTCCTGCAGGGCCCACTCCCTGCCTCCTGCCTTCGCTCAAATGCCACTTTCCCAGTGAGGTCCCCCTCCCGCAAGCCTATTCAAAGTCTGCACCTCACTCTACCTCCCGTTCCTGTTCAATTTTCCTCTGGGCCTTTTACCTTTGTTCATCATGTTGTCCATATTACAGCTCCTATGGGTCCACATCTATTTTGTCCGCTGCTATATCCCCAGTGCCTAGGATGCGTCTTGATTTACCTACAATGTAGATTAATAAACACTTGTTAAGGGAAGGGGGAAATCCAGCTAAGGACGGCCCGGCGAACAGAGACAGACGGAGGAGCCTGGGCTAGGGAAAAGCCCAGCCTTTGCACCAAGCCCCCCAGGGCTCGGCCCGCCTCTCTCCACTGCCGACTGCAGACCCACCCCAGCGCTCTCCTACAGGTGGGGACCGGGGGGCACCGGCTGGGGCCCTGCCGACCTCCCTTCCTAGCGTCCACCCAGCCCCAGGGTGGGGCTGCGGCGGCTGCTCGCGGCTCCCCAGCCCGGAGGGGACTGGCAGGGGCCGCCTCCCTCCAGCGGGCGGGGGCCGGGCGGGGAGGGAGCCTCGCGGGGGAGGGGCCGGGAGGGGAGCGGGAGGAGCGGCGCGCGCGGGAAGGCGAGCGCGGAGAAGCCGCCGCAGGGCGCTGGGAGGGGCGCGGGAGAGGGCAGGGGCCGGGGAAGAGCCCGGGGCGGGGCGGGCGTGCCGGGAGCTCGGCGGGGGGTCGCAGGCGGGGAGCGGCCCCCGCGGGGCGACGCCGCGCTGCGAGGCAGCAGGATCCCGGAGGGCCGGCCGGGGCTCGCACCTGCGCGGCCGGGAGCGGGTAAGCGCTCGGCGCTGAGTGCCGCCCGGGAGGGGCGCGTCGGGTCCCCGCGCGGTCCGGGTCGGGCCGCCGCGGTCGTCCCGAAGGAGCTGGGGCGGCGTGGGGGCGCCTGCTCTGGGGGCCTCGGCGACCCGGGCGTCCCGCCTGCGGCGCCTTTGGGCAGGAGGGGCGCGCGCGGGGCGGAGGGTCCCAGAAGACCAGCCCACCCCGAGGGCAGCGTCGGGGGGACGCCGTCCGGAGCCTCGGATGGAGCGGTGGGCCGGGCCAGCTCCCCGGGGCGGCTGCGGCATCTCGGGCGCGCATCCGGGGCGAGATCCGGCGGGGCGCGAGGTGCGCCCCCCGGGTAGGGGGCTGCGACGCCCCCAATCGGCCCTGGGCGGCGCGGGAAGCGGGGCGCTGCCCCCTGCTGGCCAGGTCGGGGCTCCGCGATGCGGCGGGGCCGCCCCTTTCTGGAGGGGAGTTGGGGTGTCCAGCGCCGAGTCTGGCTTCCAGAACCTGCCGGCCCTGACTTGCTTTGTGACCTTGGGCAGGTCACCGCATCTTTTTGAACCTCAGTTCGCGCATCTATCCAATGGAGGGGATACTTCTCCCGCCCGGCGGGATCTGTGGGAGTAAATGAGATGCTCTGTGCTAATGCCTTGTTATAAACTGTGAAGTTCTCTACAAATCCTAGCCGATCCTAATGTCAGACTGGAAGAGCACTAAGAAGTCTGCTTTATTGCAGATGGGGAGAGTGGGGGGAAATCCTGCCCAAGGTCAAACTGCTTATAAGAGAATATAAGGCTCCAGTCCCTTGCTCACGAGCTCTGGGCAAGTTCAAGATGAAGAGCAGAGGCTCAGCGAGACTGGCTGCATTAGCAAACCCAACCGACTCACTAGCTGTGTGACCTTGGGAAAGCCCTTAGCCTCTCTGAGCCTTGGTTTCCTCCTGTGTAAAGTGGGGGAAAGCATGTCCCCTCACAGGCTTACTGTGCTCAGCGCTGCTGCGGAGCGCCTGGTAGGGACAGCAGCTCAGTCACCAGTAGCCATCATTGCTCGGGTTAGTAGGAGCAGCCTCAGTGTCTTGCTTGGAATTGGCTTCCAAGTGCTTGGAATTCCTAATTGAGCATGTGAGTCTTTGTTTTCCTCTGGACTGCACAGCCACTGGCCGGTGTTCAGCCTTTCTCACAAGGACATCAAGGGACCTGTTACCTACAGCAGCCAGCAACGCCACTTGGACAGCTTGTCCTTCTCCAGCTTTTGGTGTTGTCCAATGGGGGGGAGGGGGAAACAATGGGTGGTCTTTGTCGTGGAGGCATCCAGGATCCAGGACCTGGAAGAGGGCATCAGAGGGCATGGCTGACCAGCTGGACACGGCTGTGACCGACAGCCTCTCTCCTTCCACACTGCCTAGTCCAGAGCTGTTTCCTCCGAGTTAGTCAACTAGCTGCTGGATAAATCATGAGCATGGTCCTCTGGGTCACCCCTTGTTTCCTGGGCCACAGATAGCTGACTCTCTTCTTTGACAATGCTGAAAATTTGAGCAGGTGCATGTCCTCAAAGCTTGGCGTTCCTGGGACCCTCTCGCTGCGTAGATGCTCCTGAAACCCGCAGCGGGGCTGGGTTCACCGGAGTCTTCCAGGAAGCTGAGTCCAGCAGGCACCATTCAGTCTTTAATTCCTCTCTCTGCAGAAGGTGACCCTGCGACCACTCTGTTTCCTCTAGATCACTCTCTTCTTTCGGGCTCTGTGACTTAACACTTGTATTTTTCCTCCTTCGTCATGCTTGATTTTGCAGGTCCGCGTTTCTGCAGCCACTCTGCCTATTTCCCAGGCCCTCCTCTCTTCTCAAGCAGTCCCTCTCCCTGGGTGATCTCATTCCCCCCTGACGCTTGCTATCACACCCCTGAGTCACAAAGGCCCTCTAGCCAGAGCTCAGGCAGACCCACACCAGCACTGTTCCAGGCCCTGAGGATATGGCGATGAGCTAGACAGAAGGTACATGTTGGGGAGGGTGGGGAGGTATTGGGCAGACAAGCAACAAACAAACAAGCAAAAAATATCAGCTACAGGTAAGTGCTAAAATGAGCATGAAGCAGGGTGCTACGGTGGAGGATGACACTGCTTTATATTGCTTGCTGAAAGCTTTGCCGAAGAGGTGATATTTAAGGGGGGTGGCTGGTAAGAGAAGCAGCCAGAGAGGTGAAGGGAGGTTAATATAGGGCCTTGTAAGCCACAGTGAGGATTCTGGCTATTATTGAGTGTGATGGGAGCCTCAGGGTCGGGGAGTTTTAAACCTAAGAGAAGAGGTGCTGCTGTTACCCCTGGACTCACTGCAAGCCTGCTGTGGGCACTGGAGTCCTGAGAGGGGATAGGTAGATCTTTAGGGAGCTTCCAATTGCAGGCAGTAACGGGCACAGACAATTCTGGAGACAGTAGAGTTTTTAAAGGAGAGTTTGTGTCCAGTTGTCCAGGGAAGACTTCCTGGAGAAAATCACTTTTGAGAAGAGCCTCAGAGAACAGAGTGGATTACAGTAGGCATGTGTGGAGGGGAATTGGAAAGAGTGCTCTTGCAGAAGGAGAGGACAGACTAAACCAAGACACAAATACCCCAGATGTAGGAAGAGCTGGTTGCATTACCTTTCTGAGCCTTTCCTCCTTCAAATATGGGCAATCACAGGTTCAAAAACGAGGAGAGCAGGTGTTGGGAAAGGGTGAGTAGAGCAGGAGAATGCCTACCAGGGAAGAAACAGGAGAAGCTGGCAGGGTGAGGGAGAGGGCAGATCAGTTGAGTTTGTGGCACTGTGAGACATCCAGGAGAGATAGCAAAAGGACTTTTGGAGCCAGAAGTACAGAAAGGAGAGTTAAAGGTAAAAATTATTGATGTTCTTTTATTCATTCTTTGAGCAAATTGTTACTGAATCACTTTTAAGTATTAAGCCCAAAACATGTGGTTATGTACAAAACCAGGTCTCTGCTCCAGGAATAAACATCTTGCAGAGAGAGACCCACAAGCCCCGGACTGCAGGATGATGAGAGATGTGCACAGGAATCTTGAACTCCAGGCACCAATTGGCACAGAGCAGGGAAGCTGAACCCACTGGGGCGCAGGGAGCAGGGCCAGTTTTAGCCAACCGGAGCCAGTTGAATTCAGTCTTGAGGGTGAAGTTGGAGTTGGACAGGTAGGCTAGTGGGAAGGGGAGCCTATACAGAGGGCTTCCTGACCCATGTGTCCCCCCTCTTTTTCAGAAAAAAGACTAGCAAGGAGACAACCAGTTGGCAAGTTCAGTCCAGGGGAGTCCAGCGTGATGTGCAGTAAGTGGGGCAAAGAGGAGGGAGAGATCAGTTCCATCCCCAGGGACCAGGGAAACTTGAAGAGAGGGTGGAGATGAGAGGAAGAACATTGCAGGTAGAGGGCGTAAGCTGTGCAAAGGCTCAGAGGAATGAGTGTGACAGTGGTTTTTGCAGGAGGAGATGTTAGCCAAGCAGGAGGTGGCCACTTTTGCTGAATTCAGTAAAGGGTAAAAGAAAAGAGTTCAGAAGGGTAAGAGGAAAGGGCTGGACTGCATGATCTCTGGCAAGATAAGTGATAGAAAACAGAGAAAAGGGGTTGGGGGTGCATGGCAGTCTCAAGGAGTAGGTATCATAGGCTTTAACTTCCTGTGCTGATCCTATTTGTTCTTCTGTGCTCAGCTTCAAAGCCACTTTCAGGGCCTCCCTGGTGGTACAAGGGGTTAAGTCACAACACTATGAAGCTATCCACAGCGACTATGGCACAAGTTCGATCCTGGCCAGGGAGCTGACCCACATGGCACAGCCGACCTCTCCTGGCTCACCCACTGCTCCCCTCAGCACTGTATTTCGTCAGTCTGCCTGTTCTGTTCCCCACTCTGTCTCTGGTGAATCCTTTCAGCCCCCAGACCTCTGGCCTGTACCCAGTTCTTATATGCATAAAATAAATAAATAAATCTTAAAAAAAAAAAGCCACTTTCAGAGAAGGACCTCAGGATTGTGGCAGGTTGCCACAAGCAGCCCCTGGCCTGCTCTCATGTCATCCTCTATCACATTGGTGGTTCTGTGTTCCAGGACAGTTTCCCCAGGGCCACCTTAAGTTTTTGTGAAAGCTCAGTCTGCATCTGTGTTTCTCAGGCCCCATGTGGTAGGCTTTAAGTAACTAGCTATTGAATGGATGAAACAGAGAGGTTGAGTAACTTGCCCAAGGTCACAGAGCTAGTGAATGGCAAACTGGTAAGTGGATTCAGTCTACCTGACTCTAAAGCTTGTGCTCTTAATCATGCTGTATTGTGCCTCCTTGCAGGGGAAGCAGATGGTAAATAGTGGGTTTGGATTCTCTAAAAGCTAACAAATTCAGTGTTTAATTTCTAGGAAATGAATTCCTGTTGTTAGGTTTTGTTTATTCAGTCTGGGAAGACAGCCTTTCCTCTGTCCTGAAAATGGTTTCACTCCATCAACTCAAGTGCTCTCTGTGAATCCAGATGTGTGGCATTTGGGGGAGGGGTGAGCTGAGCTCCAGGGCCAGGAGATGCTACCCTAAAGGCTTCTTAGAGAGTGTAGTCTGCCCTATCTGCTCCTGGAATAACTCCGTTAGACAGGAGGTGGGGGAGGAGAGGTTTGAAAATGCCAAAAGCATATGATATGAAAAAGGTGCTAGAGCATGTGGTTACCTCTGTCCTTAGTCTCAAGTTCCTGCCTTGAATGGGAGGCAGTGGAAAGCATGGATGGGAGTCTGAAGACTTAGTCTCTGCCTATAACCCACTGTGTGGCCCTGGACAAGTGTCTTACCCTCTCTGAATCTCTCCCTCTGTCACTACCAGGAAGGAGTTGGATTCCACAATTCCTAAGAGTCCTTCTTGATTATCTGAGGAATATCCCAGGGCTGACATTCCTATCACCCCTCGATGCGGTCCATGGAGCAGCCACATTGTCTGGGAGCTTGTCAGAAATGCAGAATCTCAGGTCCTGCTCCAGACCCACAGATTCAGAATCTGCATTTTTAATAAGATCCCTTGGGGAGGCCTGTGCATCTTGCAGTGAGAAACACTGTAGTAACCTCATTCCCTCTCTGCTCTTTGGACTGTGCTGAGAAGGAAGACCGGCGGAGAGGAGCTCATGCCCAGTGCTGAGTGACCACGTCCACGTACCCTTCGTCCCCAGGCCTGGCAGAGAGGCCCCATTCAGGTGGGTGTGGCAGAGCGGTATGTAACAGGTAACCAGTAAAGATTTTCTTTATGTGTGCAATCACTTACGGGGTAAATATTTGTGGAATGAAGAAGAGAGTGGAACTGACTTGACTCAGCACATTTTATGAGCAGTGGAGTGTGAGCCGAGCAAGCTCAGATTCCAGTCCTAGATCTGCTGTGCCCTGGGGCCATAGGCAAACTATTTCTCTGAGCCTCAGCTTCTCCTCCACCCCCCGCCTGTGAAATGGGAATAATATGACCAACTTCAGAGGGTTAGGATCTGACTCAAATGGAGTCAGACTTATGTCAGACTCCTTGAGGTATGAGAGGATACAGAACAGTGTTTGGCACATAGTTAGCTCTTAGAGTGGCCATTACTTTACCACTAACCATTGCTCACTCTACTTACCCAACCTTTTCCATTGCACAGTTCCTTGAGGACAAAGTCACAAAATGACCCTTAGGGGGCGATATCACCCCTGTTGAGAACCTATCTGATTCTAGAGCAGCTGTCACTATGCAACAGATAAAACAAACACCAGGGCCTCCCTGGTGGCGCAAGGGGTTAAGCACAGCGCTGTGAAGCTATCCTCAGCCTCTGCAGCACGAGTTTGATCCCCGCCCAACCAAGGAACTACCCACATGGCGCAGCAGACCTCTCCTGACTTACCTGCTGCTCCCCTCAGCAGTGTATTTCAGTCAGTCTGCCTGTTCTGTTCCCCACTCTTCCTCTCACTCCTGCACATCTAGACTGTGGCTCTTGAATCCAAGATTCTCACCCTCCTGCGCAGCTCTGAGACTGTCCCCCGGCTCTCGATGTATAAATAAGCATCTGGTAAAAAAAAAAGAATAAAGATTTCAAGAAAAAAAATGAAGCCCAGAAGAACTGATTATCCAAGAGAGAGTTTCCAGTTTAGGGGTGTTAAATTGTGCAGTAGGAACAATTCTCACCTACGTCTTTGAGTGGACATTTGTACATGTTTTTGTTGGTTCTATAGCTGGGGGTGGAAGTTCTGGGTTGGTCTTGGCTATTTTTTATTTTCTACATTTTCCAGTTTTATGACTAGAGAAAATGAGGTGAGAGATTGACTCACTTAAGATTCTGATTAGATTTCAAAAGTTGCACTTAGATGTGAAGGGATGGGCAGATGGGTGATGGACGGATGGACAGAGGGATGGATGGGGACATACACACGTGTGGAAACTTTTCAGAGTTTTTCCCATATATTCTATTTCATCCTCACGACACCTCTGGGGAGATAAACTTGATACCGTGGTTTTGCAGAAGAGAAGGTGAGGCTGTGGGAGGTTCCCTGCGGTAGAGAGGAGATGAAATAACAGCTGTGGATGCACTTTGTAAAATAGAAAGCACTCTTCAGATTGTGGAGAATGATTTTCCCCGTCCGGGGCTCACTCATCTGTACCACACGGCTTCGAGAGAAAGAATAGACACGAATTCCTTTGTGGGGGATTTATTTTGCTGCAACAAATCTTTATCACGGAGCCTGGTTTGGTTTTGTTTTTTTCCTTCCAAAAGGATGAGGCTGGCTTCTGAGGATGCATTAAACCCATACATCTTGTTTCTGGCAAGGTTTTATGACTCACTTAGTTAAAATAAAGATCTGTTGGAATGGGGAGGTGACTGATCTGCAGACTGAATGAGCTCTGGGTACAAAACCTTAGTTAAGAGTGAGGTAAAGAGGGGCCTCCCTGGTGGTGCAAGGGGTTAAGTTGCAGCACTAGGAAGCTATCCGTGGCCACTGCAATGTTAGTTCGATCCCCTGCCAGGGAGCTGACCCACATGGCGCAGCAGACCTCTCCTGACTCACTCGCTGCTCCCCTCAGCAGTGTATTTCGGTCAGTCTTCCTGTTCTGTTCCCCACTCTGTCTCTGGTGGATCTTCTCACCCCTCACACCTCTGGCCTCTACCCACATTCTTGTATGCATAAATAAATAAATCTTTAAAAAAAAAAAAGTGAGGTAAAGAACCCCTGCCAGCCTCTGTGCTGTCCCTCCCCTGAGTCCACATGGCAGGTCTGGGGGAAAGGTGCTGGTACCCCAGTTCAGATGGGGAAGAAAAGCCCAGGAGGTAAAAAGATTGACCTTGATCCCACAGAAGGGCTTGCTTGATAGGAGGGAGCTGGAAATCCTCTGTCTTATTACTCTTTTTAAAAAAATATTTATTTATTTATGTATATAAGAACTGGGGTACAGATCAGATGCATGGGAGGGTGAGAGGATTCACCAGACAGAGTGGGGAACAGAACAGGCAGACTGACTGAAGTACACTGCTGAGGGAAGCAGCGGGCGAGACAGGAGAGGTCTGCTGTGCCATGTGGGTTGCTTCCTGGCCGGCCGGGGATTGAACTCATGCTGCAGTGGTTGCAGAGAGCTGCATAGGTTGTGTCTTAACCCCTTGCACCACCAGGGAGACCCCTGTTTTATTACTCTTTTTCAGGGCCTTTTGTGTCCCTTTGAACTGGTTCTCCAGGGTCAAGTACGAATCAGTAAAAATGAGGTTTCTGGGGTACACTGGTTGCTTGCAGACATCCAGGGATGGCACAGTGTAGCGTGAGGAGTCACTCCTCCTCTCCTGGGGCAGCTGGTACCCCTCTCTGTGCTCTGGTCTCTGCTCCATTGTCCTGCCCCTCTTTGCAGACCTGTTTCCTTAGGGCCTCTCTGTTCTCCCAAAACTTGCTGTGACTTTGGTCATGGCAGTGGCCCAGTTACACCCAAGGGATCTCCTGCATCATCTGTCTGCCCTGCTGCTCACAGCCTTCATTCTAAATTTCCAGGAGAGAATCTGATTGGTTCATTTTGGGGGTCACATGTCCCCATTGGCCCAATCAGCTATGAGCAGAGATGGTCCATGAACAAGTTGGGATGGGTTCCAAGATCTGTCTGTGGCATTTTCCCCTCTGCACCTCGAGAAGCTGGGGTGCATGTGGTGTGGCTGGAGTCTGCAGTGCCGCTGGGCTGGGGAGAGGCTGAGGGGAGTTATGGCTGCCCGTGATAGTCCCGGGGGTGTGGGTGGGCCAGGAAGAAGCTCTCTGGTGTGCTTGGTAGTTCAGACAATGCAGACATTACTCACTTAACAGAGAATGTGCAGTTTCTGGTGTCCTGGCTTTTTCCTGGTGAGGAACAGACCTTGTTGCCTAGAGACCTGAATTTGGTTGGACACATCCTAGAGGAACGAGAGAAGTCACCATTTACTGTTTTAGGTATTTGGATCTATGATATTATCGGTTCTCCCCAAACTCCTGTGAGCTATGGAGGGTTATTGTTTCCATCACTGAGGCTATGCTGGCTGAGCCAGCAGCCCCTGTTTGCTTTCAGCCTCTGCCCCCTTTGTTACCATTGTGTCCAGGACTCTACAGTTTACAGAACATTGTATACAGGATTTTTTTATGCATACAAGAGCTGGGGTGCAGGCCAGAGGTGCAGGGAGGTGAGAGGATTCACCAGAGACAAAGTGGGGAGCAGATCAGGCAGATCTACTGAAATACACTGCTGAGGGGAGCAGCGGGAGAGACAGGAGAGGTCTGCTGTGCCATGTGGGTCACCTCCCTGGCTGGGGATCCAACTCATGCTGCAGTGGCTGCTGATAGCTTCATTGTGATGAGACTTACTCCCTGCACCACCAGGGAGGCCCCCTGTATACAGGATCTTATTGAAACGACTAGACACAGCATTGTCATGGGTCAAGGAGGAAACTAAAGTTTTCCTGACTTAGTGGCTCAGATCTTTAGGACTAAAATGTATCAGTAGGTATTGATATATCAGTGTTATTGCTGGTACCTGGTTCTCCCTTTTACAATGTACCAAATTGATGGTTTAAGAAAAATGACAAAGATATCTCCTTTAACAGAGTGTGTGTATGTACGTGTATATATGTAATATACTTTTATATAAAATGTGTATGTATGTGTGTAACATAGGGACAAGTTAAAGAATAATCATAAACATCCATGTACCTGCCATTACCTTAAAAAAAATCGAATACTCTTGATTACATTCCTCTTTCCGCTCCAGGGGTAACCAATATCCTGAATTTTATATTTGCCTTTCCTAATGGCTTTGCCACCTATATTTATATCCTTAGACGGCTTGTTGCTTCCTGCATGTTTTTTGCCTTTGGCATACTCAGTGTTATGTTTGTGCGAATCACCCACTTAGGTGTGAGAGGCTGTGGTTTACTTGGTTTGCTTCTCTGCAGCACTGCGCCTTGGTAGAAATATGCCACGTTGCATTCTGCTGGTGATGGACAGCTGGGTGGTTTCTGGTCGTTTGTTATTACAATCAAGGTCCTGTGACCAGGCTTGTTCCTGTCTGCTGGTGAGCACAGAGAAGCATTTCTCTGGCTTGTATAGCCAGCAGTAGAATTACTGGGTCATTAGGTAGTCATTACATCTTTAGCTTTATGAGATGATACTAAATTGTCTGCTAATGGGGTTCTCCGATTTATACTCCATTCATGGTCGATGATGATGCCTGTTGCTCCATACCCTTACTAAAGGACATGACACGATCAGATTTTAAAGATCAGTTTTGTTTATCTGCAGGCTGAAAATGGCATTTCACTGTCATTTTTTTTTTTTTTTAATTTTGGTATTTGAGGGATGAGGGGAGAGAGGTAGCTGCTTATAGAGTCTGTATCTCTAAAAGTAGCTGGATTATGAGAAATTCTGCCAGCTTTGCTCAGAATGGGGAAGGACAGCAGGCAGGAAAGGATCGTGGCAGCCCAGCATGCCTGACCCAGGCAGTCCACCCTGTCCTTCTGCCCAAGATACACCCACCCGCCTCTCAGGCCTTTCTGAACCCGCACCTTTCACTGGAATGAGGTCACTGGAACGCCTGGAACTCAAGGGGTGACCACGTGGCTCCTGAGCCAGCGCACCAGCCCTCCGTGAGAAACCACGGCACCTCACTCACCCAGACCATCTGCATGAAAGAAAGTTCCAAACAGGCCAATGGACTTCATATTTTCCATGTGAACCAATGTGGGAGGAAAGCTTCAGCCAAAGGCTTTTGGGGTGGAGCCTGGGCAGAGAGGACTGCGGGGCAGGTGGGGGGGGTGTGGGAGGTGTAAGGGAGGGATCGTCATCTTCAGTACCACCACTGTGAGATCCCAAACCAGCTTCATTCCTGGGAGCACAGGTGCCTGGAGGCTTTTCTTCCCCAATGGGGCAGTGTGAAGAGTGGAAATGTTGAGAGCAGGCTCTTGACCCGGTTTTTCCACTTCCAGCTGAGTGACCTTGGCAGGTGACGTCAGTTCTCTGAGCATCTGTTGGCTCATTTGCAAGTTGGAGGCCAAATTGTGTGCCCTCTTGTCAAGGGTGACTCTCAGTTCCAGGACTAGCTCGGTGCCTGAACGTAGGGAGAGCTCCATCTAAAAGAGACGATAAACTAGCCTTCAATCTCTGGGGCTGCTTTAGAGCAGGTGGCTTAAGATTAATTTTTTTTTATTTATTCATTTTTAAAAGATTTATTTGTTTGTTTGTTTATTTATTTATTTATTTATTTATTTATACAAGCACTGGGTACAGTCAGAAGCTTGGGAGGGTGAGAGAATTCACCAGAGCCAGAGCTGGGAGCAGAGCAGGTAGAAGGACCGAAGTACACTGCTGAAGGGAGCAGCGGGCTGCAGGAGAGGTCTGCGCGTCATGTGGGACCCTCCTCCGGTGGCCAGAGAGCAGCTGGGGATCGAACCGGCGCTGCAGAGGCTGCGGGCAGCTTGGAAACCCAGCGCTCAACCGCTGCGCCACCAGGAGGCCCAAGATTAATTTTTTTAAACTGAGGTTATTTCCCCTGCTCAAGGCATATATATTTTTTAAAGATGAAGCACCCAGAAGTTTGAGGAATGAGAGGGAAACTATCACATTGCTGGTTTAGCTTAATATTTTTTTAAAAGTCAATCAACAGGGCTTTCCTGGTGGTGCAAGGGGTTAAGCACCGCATTATGAAGCAATCTACCGTCTCTGCAGCAGGAGTTCAATCCCCCCGCCAGCCAGGAAACAAAGCACATGGCCTGGCAGACCTCTCCTGACTCATCCACTGCTCCCCTCAGCAGTGTACTTCGGTCAATCTGCCTGTTCTGTTCCCCACTGTCTCTGGTGAATCCTCTCATCCCCCCTGCATCTCTGGCCTTTACCCCAGCTCTTGTATGCATAAATAAATAAATCTTTAAAAAAAAAAAAAGTCAATCAACAGACTGAGCCTTCCTGACAAAGTCCTGAGCCAAACCTTGGGGTCTAAGGATTGGATGACGGTGGTTCTTGATCCCTCTCAGCTTTCTGCAAGTTTCAAGAAGCAGCCTCACTGCCCAGCAGGCAGGCAGGCAGGCAGGATCACCATTGTTTGGGGGAAGACATCTGAGACTCAGAAAGGATAAGGGACTTGCCCAAGGTCCTAAAGAAAGGCTGGGATAGAACAGATGATCCCAGTCCAAGCCTAACTCTCTCTACTCTGTGCCCAGTACTCCCCTCCACCACTCCCCACCCCCATCTCCTGAGACTGATCTGTTTCCTCCTCCATTCTCTGCCCTCTGGCCAGCTGATCTGTTTGCCATCCTCTGACCACTTTTGGTCCTTTGTTCTTGCCTTTCCAGCCATGAGGAATGCCATCCCTCACACTTTCACTATCGAAACCTCCCTTCTTTTTTTTTTAGATTTATTTATTTATACATGCAAGTACTGGGGCACAGGCCACAGGTGCGAGGATTCACCAGAGACAGGGTGGGGAGCAGAACAGGCAGACTGACTGAAATACACTGCTGAGGGGAGCAGCGGGCGAGACAGGAGAAGTCTGCTGTGCCATGTGGATTGCTCCCTGACTGGCCGGGGATTGAACTTGTGCTGCAGAGGCTGTGGATAGCTTCACAGTGCAGTGCTTAACCCCTTGCACCACCATGGAGACCCCCACCCTTCTTTTTAATGCGGCCACTCTGTGAGCACTATGCAGCCCTTAAGGATGCCGTGGTAGTCCTCAGTAGAACATTGCTCAAATTATAGTTAGTAGAAACAGGAAACACATACAAACTTTGAATCAAATTCGTACACCAGCTCCATCCACGGTCCTAGAAGCTACATGTCTGCTTCTCTTAATAAGCTGTGAATGTTCCCAGGCCCAGTTCGCTGTTTGGAAGAAATAAAGTGAATCCGTGACTCCTGGGGGATTTGTAGTGTTCTGGACAAGGCAGGCAGGGAGAAGTGGAGAGGGTATAAATGGGGCTCTGGGGTTGGCAAGAATGCCAACCCCATATGCCCAGGGGCTTCCTGCTGGGGTCATGCCAGAGCTGAGCTTGCACTGAGCCTCCAGCTTGCCTCACCCTGAGTCCCAAGCTCCAAACACCCCAGGACTTGCCCATGCCCCAAATACTGAAACATTCAGGGCCAGAGGCACCCAGAAGAGAGAGCGGGGAAAAAAATCTCCAAGATTTTTCTTTTGGTTTCTGGTTTCCATTTGGAAAACTAAATGTATTTTTCTGGAGTTGGATTGTCTCCATGAGAAATGCTCAGTGTTTTTATCTTTGCAGTTTATTTCTTTGCTTAACAAAAAAGTGTTTATGGGGGGAAGGGTTAACTTTAAGAGTCATGCATGCCCACTGTAGGAAATATGACAAATTCATATGAACAAAAGAAAGATCACCTCCCCCTCCCTACTTCCTAGAGAAATACATGGTAACAATTTCCTGACTTTTTTTCTATACACAGTTTTATCTTGTTTAGTTCCCATTATTGTTGAATAAATGGAAGATGATTTCTGATTCAAGACATACAGAGCTGCTTTCATGTACTTGTGAACAGCCAGGGATGCTTCCAACAGCTGAAATACTGTGTCCCCTCTGGGAATCATGGGGGTGGGGCACAGGCCCTCTCCTGTTTTCTCTGCAGTCTTTTGAGAATGCCCATTCATTGTACAGCTGCCAGCAGTAAGCAGTATCCTCCAAATCTTTATAGTCAATCTCAAGTATCCCAATTGTCTTCTGGAACATAACTCTTGTTTTCTTTTTTAAATCCCAGAGCGTCTGAATCCGTGCCCCCTCTCCATGAACCCACAGTCGTCTGTTCTCCCTTCTCCCAGCTCATGTATTCTTTGAGTCTTGGTAACCAGAATGTTTTGTCTGTTCAGGTTCAAAACAATCAGGGACCACGTGGTGTGTATGTCAACGTGAACCTGGGAAGACTGAGCTGTGACGGGGCTGCTTCTCGGAATGAGCGGGCACATGTTTTTGTCTGGAGATTTAAAGCTCCCAGGAGGCAACATGATATCCAGATTCTTCTCAGAATAGGATGGGGGGAATTCTGAAGTCCTCATTCATCCCCTGTGTGTCTCAAGCTTTGGAAGGAGCCAGAATGCCAATGGGAAGACTCCCCAAGCATTGCCTACCTTGGGGTGATGCCCCGACATATTCAGCAAGTGTCCAGGGGTCTTGGCTTTTTGCTGGGCAAAGTTCCAGAACAGTGAGACATCTTGGGATTCATCTGGTTTAAGAAAGACCTTTAACTCCCCACTGTTGGTCTCCTCGGTGCTCTTTAAATAGTTAACTCTTGAGATCTTTTCACTGTGTTCTCTTGGGCGGAACGGCTTGCAACCGTGTGGAACAGAAGGATGACCTTGTTCTGTGGGCAGGACAACTGTGAAAGGAGCTGTGTGTGTGTGAGTCTGTGGGAAGAAAGAAACACCTAGAATGTCCCTGCCAAACCAGTCCATGGAAGGCCTTTTCCCAGAGGCCCCCAACAGATCCCTGAATGCTATAGAAACTCCAGAGACTTGGGATCCAGGAACCCTCCAGGCCCTCAAGATTTCTCTTGCTGTGGTCCTTTCCATCATCACACTGGCCACAGTCCTCTCCAACGCCTTCGTGCTCACCACCATCTTCCTCACCAGGAAGCTCCACACCCCTGCCAACTATCTCATTGGCTCTCTGGCCACCACCGACCTCCTAGTTTCCATCTTGGTCATGCCCGTCAGCATCGCATACACGACCACGCGCACCTGGAGCTTTGGCCAAATCCTGTGTGACATCTGGCTGTCCTCTGACATCACGTGCTGCACGGCCTCCATCCTGCATCTCTGTGTCATTGCTCTGGACAGGTACTGGGCAATCACCGATGCCCTGGAGTACAGTAAGCGCCGGACTGCGGGCCACGCGGCCGCCATGATCGCCATCGTCTGGGCCATCTCCATCTGCATCTCCATCCCGCCGCTCTTCTGGCGGCAGGCAAAAGCGCACGAGGAGCTGTCTGCCTGCCTGGTGAACACATCTCAGATCTCCTACACCATCTACTCCACGTGCGGGGCCTTCTACATCCCTTCTGTGTTGCTCATCATCCTCTACGGACGCATCTACATGGCCGCCCGGAACCGCATCCTGAATCCGCCCTCACTCTGCGGAAAGCGCTTCACCACTGCCCATCTCATCACAGGCTCCGCGGGGTCCTCGCTCTGCTCCCTCAACCCCAGCCTTCATGAGGGCCACTCACATTCAGCTGGCTCCCCCATCTTTTTCAACCATGTGAAAATCAAGCTGGCTGACAGCATCCTGGAGCGCAAGCGGATCTCCGCTGCCCGAGAGAGGAAAGCCACTAAGACCCTGGGCATCATCCTGGGGGCCTTTATCATCTGCTGGCTGCCCTTCTTTGTGGCATCGCTGGTCCTCCCCATCTGCCGGGACTCCTGCTGGATCCACCCAGCCCTCTTTGACTTTTTCACCTGGCTAGGCTATTTAAACTCCCTCATCAATCCCATCATCTACACCGTGTTTAACGAAGAGTTCCGGCAGGCGTTTCAGAAAGTTGTCCATTCCCACAAAGCCGCCTAAGTCTCATTTGGTGGTGGCTCTTGTTATGGTTTGTCTCCTGTCTTCTTTATTTTTCCTGAATGTTGGGTTCATCCTGATACCTTGGGTTTGGATTCAATTAATTGAATTGGCCAGCGTTCTTTTTCCTGTTATCTTCTTGATTTCTGGGACACCAAAAGCTGGGCAGTTGTATGAAAGGGGACAAGACTGAAGATTTCACTAAGTGTGATCGTGTGCCAGTTCATCCATGTTGGAGGAAACGTGACCCACAGGATACCCCATGGAAGCAATTCGGGCGGGAGCCCTCTGAAGCTATAGCAAGATGAGGCCCAAAGGGGAGGCTTTCTGGTCTGCCTAACTTTCGTGTGGCGCTCGTAGGAGGGCAGGTGAAATTAATGACCTAAGTTGAAGAGCATTTGGAGTCAGAGTGGAGTGACCTCCATTCCCTGTGGCACCTCAGAAATAACACCTGGATTTCGTTCACTGAGTCCTCCTTAGGTTGAATCTTTCCCAGTCGTTCATGGGGAGATATTCAGTATTTGCAGTGCCAGTGATATAAAGTGGTGGAGATGCCAGCGACAGCCACTACATCAACTACCCTGTGCCCTTCGTCCTTCCCCACTATCTCCGCACCGTCTCAATGTTCACATTTTCACCCCCACTGAAGGCTTTGGACTCACAGAGGGTTGGTTTTTTTTTTCCCAGAATTATTTTCTTACGTCCCCTTTTCATTAGAGATCTTACAATGTTGGGTCTTGCCAAATAAAAAGCATGAGACGTCATGACCAGGAAAATCTGAGTAATTTTTTCCCCTTTCCCTGGATGTAGAAACCTTTCAATTCAATTTATTTTTTTTTAAGATTTATTTATTTATGCATACAAGGACTGGGGTACAGGCCAGAGGTGCAGGGGGCGGTGAGAGGATTCACCAGACAGAGTGGGGAGCAGAACAGACAGACTGACTGAAACATACTGCTGAGGGGAGTAGTGGGTGAGACAGGAGAGGTCTGCTGCACCATGTGGGTAGCTCCTTGGCCAGGGATCGAAGTTATGCTGCAGAGGCTGCAGATAGCTTCACAGAGGTCCTCAATTCAATTTAGTCTTCAGCCAGTGCTTTGGTCAGATGGTAACTCTATGCAAATAAACAAAGCAGCTGTCTTGCAATAAATTTGTATTTAATGAAAGGTGTGACAGGGCCTCCCTGGTAGCAAAGGGGTTAAAGTCTTAGCGCTATCAAGCTATCAGCAGCCACTGCAGCATGAGTTTGATCCCTGGCCAGGGAGCTGACCCACATGGCGCAGCAGACCTCTCCTGTCTCCCCGCTGCTCCCCTCAATAGTGTATTTCAGTAGATCTGCCTGTTCTGCTCCCCACGCTGTCTCTGGTGAATCCTCTCACCACCACCACCCCCTGAACCTCTGGCCTACACCCCAGTTCTTGAATGCATAAATAAATAAATCTTTTTTAAAAAGGGTGTGTGTGGCCTGTACCCTGGTTCTTGTATGCATGAATAAATAAATCTTAAAAAAAGGCGGGGGTTTGGCAGTTTGCAGGTGTGGTTGACCCCTGATCTAGAAGTGACCCTTCCCCTCCTCCAACCCTGTCTCTCTTTCCCCTTCTCTGTTTTACTTTTTGTATCACACTTATACTGATGACCATACATAGGTATTAGTTCTTATTGTCTGGCATCTCTAGAGTACCAGCCTTTTGAGGGTGGGGATTATATTTGTCATGTTCACTGTCTAATCCCCCATCTACCATAGTAGTACCAGGCATACAGAAGATGTGCAGTAAATATTTGTTGCATGAATGAATGAAACACCATTTCCAGGTTTACAAATGACTATTCCTCAGTATCTTTATCTCCAAGGTTTTAGGAGAAGGTGACTACCGTAGAGCTGCACCTCACAAATTCCGGGATTTGGTATCAGGTGGACCTAGTCAGACTTGGAGAACTTCTATCTCAAGGCAAGAGGTGAGTGAGGAGGCTGGGGAACCCCAGTGTGCCCAGAAGCCAGGGCTGGTGCTGACCCCTTCGACTGCCCATATGCTCCTCCTCCTTGGTCTCTACAGGGCAACAGCCAAAGGATCAGCCAGCTTGGGAGAAAGACCAGCTGTTTTCTGGTCTCTGTTATTTTTGTTATCTTTGTCCATTTGGATCTCACATCTGCAGAACTGAAAACTAATTAGGCCACGTCAAGATCAGTTTTAATTTCTTTTCCCACAACCTCAGAGGCAAATCTGAATGGTAGGTCTCCGTACTTAGATCCCATTGGTCAGACTGTATCACGTGCCCATCCCTCAACCAATCCCTGGTAAAGGGGCTACCCAGCTATCCTGACTGGTTTAATCCGATCAGGGTCCAAAAGGACCCTGACAGAGGAAACCTGCATTGGGGGCCTTTCTCCTCCCGCTTCATGCACAATCTCCATTGTGCTCCTAACTCATGCACACTTAGTCACACACACAGCATGATGGCGGGCATGCAGGGTAGGGCACAGCCCCTGGGACAGTCAGGCAGCAAGGACCCCAGATGAGACCCATCATTCGGTTTTGCCAAAGAATAGAGGGATTTCCAGACCTGCAGAGTTTTTGTGCTAAACCCAGAAAAGTACCGTGCAGACTGGGACAAGGGGGGGCCTGTGAGATGTATGGAAGTCAGCTGGGCGCTTTGGGCAGATACTCAGGGTACTGCAGGAAAGCGTCATGTAAGGAATGCTTCTTCCTGCTTGGTAGCCGGGAGGATGGGAAGCCTGGGCCACCTTCCTGTGACCCAGTGGGGAAGTGTGGGAATGCCCTGAGGATGGCAGAGGGAAAAAGCAGGCGTGGCTCCTTGACCACATGGTCGAGGCCCCAAGTATCCCTGGCCTGTCTTGCATTCTTGTTAAGTGAGCAGTAACCGTCCTTATGGATTAACACTTAGCTGGATTTTTCTGTTACTTGCTGCTGAACGCATCCTAACAGATGCCAGGAGGACATACCTCTCTCTTGCCACCTTGCCCTCTTTTAGGTTGGGCAAGAGCAAGATTGGGTGGCACTCTCAGGTTGGCATAGTCTCCGGGCCTTGGGCAGAGAAGTGGGGGACAGCCAGAGGGTGAGCCAGCACGTTGATAAACAGCTTATTGGCTTGTTGACTGCTTTAAGAAGCAACCCAGGTAGTTCCCTGAAGAATATGAAAACACTATTTGAAAAGATAAATGAACGCGGGCCTCCCCTGGTGGCGCAGAGGTTGAACTCTGGGCTGCAAAGCTGTCCGCAGCCTCTGCAGCACCGGTTCGATCCCCAGCCACTGGCGAGGGTCCCACATGGCGCAGACCTCTCCTGCCGCCCGCTGCTCCCCTCAGCAGTGTACTTCAGTGCTCCTTCCTGTTCTGCTCCCTGACCTGGCTCTGGTGAATTCTCTCACCCTCCCACACTTCTGACTCTACCCAGTGTTGTATAAATAAATAAATCTTTAAAAAAAAAAAAAAGATAAATGAACGCCTATGTCCAATGCAGCACTGTGAATGATAGCCAAATATGGAGACAACCCAAGTGCCCAATGATGGATGACTGGATTAAGAAGATGAGGGTGTGTGTGTGTGTGTGTATATATATATATATTTCCACTCACACAATGGAATACTACTCAGCCTTTAAAAATAAGAGCTCTTGCTATCGGTGACATGGGTGGACATTGAGGGGATTATGTTGAATGAAATAAGTCGAGAGGGAGGGCTTCACCTCTCTCTATGGTGGGTCATGGTTGGGATGTGGACGTAGGGCTGGTGGATGAGTGTTGGGTTCATCAGAAGTGTGGGCTACATAGTTGGTTACGCAAGGGACAGATTATTTTTGGTGGTGAAGGAAAACTTTTTTTAAGACTTACTTATTTATGCATATAAGAACTGGGGTGTAGGCCAGAGGTGTGGGGGTGAGAGGATTCACCAGAGACAGAGTGGGGAGCAGAACAGGCAGATTTACTGAAACACACTGCTGAGGGGAGCAGCAGGTGAGATAGGAGATGTCCGCTGTGCCATGTGGGTCAGCTCCCTGGCCGAGGATTGAACTCAGGCCTTGGAGGTGATAGTGCTGAGACTTAACCCCTAGGCCACCAGGAAGCCCCTAAAAACTTTTATTTATTTATTTATTTATTTACTTTGTGGGACCCTCGCTGGCGGCCGGGGAACGAACTGGTGCTGCAGAGGCTCCGGGCAGCCTCGCAGCCCAGCGCTCAACCGCTGCGCCACCAGGGGAGGCCCCAAAAACTTTTATTTTAAATAATGAATTATGTGAATAAACAGAAGAGTGAAGTGTTAACTGTGACATTGAAATGATTACATGATACCAATTATTCATTAGATAATTAGCGACTTCATGAACATCTATTCAAGGCCCTGTAACCTTCCCCATGATGGAATTTTCAGTTGAAATGAGTTCACTCACTTGTGGAATTAAAAAACAACAACAATGGAACAAACAAAACAGAAGCGAACCCTCAGACTCTGACAACAGAATGGTGGTTTCCAAGGAGGCCGGAGGGTGAGGAAATGGGTGGAGGGGCCCGACTGGCTGGCGTGGATGGTGACTGGGCATTTGGTGGTGGGTGTGGGGTGGTGCACACAGCTGCTGAGGTGAGAAGCTACATCTGAAACCCATACAGTATTGTAAACGGTTACCTCAATAAAAAGAAAGGGGAAAAAAGCCACAAGGGCTTCCCAATGCCCAAGGGCACTCCCTGATCCCGGACAGAGGAAATGGAGGCTCAGAAACTATGACTCCGTGAGCCTGAGTGAGTCTCACACCTCAGCCAAAGCTCATGCTCTTCCTCCTCAGCTCTGTCTCGGTCACGTCACAGAGGGCTTCCTCCTGACACATTCTTGGTGATAGGGAGACCAGTGTCAGCGAGACACCCCGTCCATCACTGGTCAGCACTGACTGCTCTTCCCACTGGACCCAAATCTGATTTCCAGTAACTTCCACCCACCCATCTGATCCTGCCTTGAATCCTGGAGCCAGGGCTAAACCTCTGTGGTCTGTTTCTAGGCTGCTCAGCCTCGTGTCCCGTCAGGCTTTCTTCTCTTAACAACTCAGGTAGGAATGGGTCCAAGCTGCACTTGCGGTCCAACTAAAAGTGTTAAATCTTTTAAGCAGGCTGCACTCTCCCACCCCGTTGCCCCTGATTCTATATCCGTACAATTGGACCCCAGTTGGGGGCGAGGGAAATTTTTATTGATCTGCATTACATTTCTTTTCATTGATCCATGTTAAGTTCTTCTTATAGTTTCCTACCCATCATTCTGCAAATTAAGCAGCTTTGGAATCCTGATTGTTAGCCTCTACAGGGCTGTCCCTCCCTGCTCTGTAGGATACTTATAGTAAATGCATCTTGATCATTTAAAGAACTCTGACATCCATCAGGGACAGGGTGGGAGCCTATGGCTAACCTTCTCTAAAGTAGCATTGCCAGGCAAAATAAGGATACCTCCTCTGGCAGAGGTTCTGGTACCTTCCCCACATACACCAACCCTGTCATTCAGGAGATCCCTTGTATGTCATTCAGGGCTCTCCTGAGGAATAGAACCAATAGGATGAGCAAATCTAAACAGATTTATTTCAAGGAGTGGTTCTCATACTTGGGAGGCTTGATAAATCCAAATTCTGATGAGGTGGAAGCCCATAGGCTAGGGATTCAGAAAAAAAAAAAAAAGTGTGATTTGAGTGCACAGGCAGTCTGCCATCGAGCTAGGAAGAGCCAATGTTGAAGATGATGTCCAAAGGCCATCTTCTGGAAACTTC